AAGGGTGGCACATTACGTCATTCAAATCAGCTTATTTAACCCCAGCTTGTGGAAAAAAGCATTTGAAAAATAAAAGCGAGTCTTCCTCTTTAGCGATGACTGGAGCGATGACTGAATTTACTTTTTTCTTCTTCTTTTTTTCCCCCCCAAGTGTTATCCCCACACATTTCAGCTGAGGTGTGTGACTTACTCTGCTGATGTCTAACGGATAAATATGTGAGTGCAGCTTTAATTTGTATCATAAATCATGTAAAAGCAGGTTGCACGTGCCGGTTTCCAGTGGATAACATCGGCCCTCTCACAATCAGAGAAGCCAAATCTGTGGACTTATTTATGTCCTGTGACTGACCTGAACAATAGAGGGACACGGTCTTTTCTCCTGTCCTCGTCTAGACAGCAATAACATAGAAACATGGCTTTGTGAATCCAATAAAGACTCTATCCAAGTGTCTGCATCTTCACACTCTTTCTGTCTGCCATCTGTATGAGTGTGCATATGGCTGTGTGTGCTCTGGATGTGTGACTCATACTCAGCATGGCTGAGAGTCTGTTTGAAGCCGTCTATATTTCTTTTATGTCAGACGCCAGCCTGTAGCAGTGTTTCAGCTTTGAATGGATGCAGATGCATCCTCAAGTTCCATTAACCCTCTCAAGGCAGGCGTTGCAGATTTGCAACAGTTAAAAGCTAACAACCTGATTACCCCACATACATATTTTATGAGTTTGTTTTACTCAGAAGTACCACTGCAGGTATTCTTTTGTGCATTAGCAAGAAAAATTTAATTTGAGCCTGAGAGGGTTAATGCTGGCTTCGGCTATACCCCATCTCCTGGATGAAGGTACTGCTATTACTACTGATTAAGTAGGATGCGGTCATGCTCATCCCTCTCTACCATACATTGTTATTAGTGTTTTATCTAGCTTTTTGTTTCCAGTAATACTGAGAAACAACTGTTATTTGTATGTTTTATGTTTACATTTCTGAACACCATAGGTGTCCTGTAATTTATCATGGAAGAGCCAAATGCTTCAAAGAGCACTTTTATAATAAACTAGTCCCTTATTCAACATTCAAATATAAAAATACAAAAAGTCACATCTTCCATAATATTCCCTCTTTAACACATGAAAAGTGAATATCACCTCACACTGCTTTATAGTGCCAACTGTCATCCCTGACTTAAGCTTTGGATCAGGATTTTTCCCTAGAATGGTCAAACATGGTTTTACTGTAATTCAGCCGAATAATCCTAGAGTGTACCCACCCTAAGATGTTGGAGAAGCTTGACTACGAGCTCAGTGGTTCATATCGTCACACAGTCTCGGAAAATGTGAACGGGGAAAATGAAGGAGAAACACTTGTTTCCAAAAAACCACCAAGATGCCCTCAAGCAAAAGGTTTATCCCCCAAACTGCTGCTTGGCCAACAAAAGCTGGCCTTAGTGGCAGCTGCCATAAGGAAATCTGTCAATGTGCATTTGTCTGTGAAAGGCAGGAGGAGCTGAGAAAAAAATATAGCACTGAGGAATGGCTCGGCTTTAAAACATATTGCACTTTTTATACACAAGGTGAGTATTGTATAGTGCTCAGCTGGACGTTTTTTTAATTTCAGCTTTTGGTTTCACAATTTGTTTCCCAGTAAATGCTTCTGAAATTCTTCTTAAATAAATAAAGTCCAATAACTTCAAAATACATAAGTGTGAGAAAACAGCAGTTCTTGAAAAACATGCTCCTTTATTTGTTGAGCTCAGAGAACTGGATCTCTTGATTTTAAGAGGCAGCCTTTACAGTTAGGTCCATAACTATTTGCACAATGAAACCAATTTTGTAATTTTGCCTCTGTACACCATCACAGTGGGTTTTAAATCAAATTAATCAAGGTGTGATTGAAGTGCTGGATTTTAGCTTTAATTTAAGGGAATTGACAAATGTATTGCTTTAACTGTTTAGGAAGTTCAGCTATACAGTCCGTCAAATTTATAGGCTCCACGTGTAATTGGCCTAACATCATTTTAAATAAATCATTTGCAGTCAGTAACAGCAGGCAGTCTTGAACCCCTGGAAATCATCAAACGCTGCATCTCCTGTTTTGAGAAGATTCCAGAGATTTTCCACTGCAAAACTTGCTCTATTGGGTTGAGATCAGTTGACAGACTTAAGCAATGAAGAATATCACCAAACTTTGCATGGAGAAACTCTTGGCCTGCTTTAGCAGTACGCTTTGGGACGCTATCCATTTGCGCCATCTGATCAGTTTTGCAGAACGGGGCTGAATCTGAGCAGAGATTATTTCTCTCTACACTTCGCAATTCATCCTGCTACTTCTATCAGCAATCACGTCATTATTAAAAACCAGTGGCTTGGTTCCACCGTCTGCTATATATGCCCATGCCATAACAGCGCCTGCATCATGTTTGACAGATAATGTGATATGCTTCAGCTAATGAGCTGTTTCTATTTATTCTCCATACTTTTCTTTCCCGTCATTTTGTAACAAGTTAATCTTGATTTCATGTGTCCAAAGATTGTTTTAACCTTTTTTAAATATATACTTTTTTCCTCCCTGAACTTGGCAGGCTCAGTTAGAAAAGTCAAATCTGGTCTTTCTGCTTTTGAGTATAATCTGTGAATTGTACATTGTCGTAAACCCTCTGTATTTATTTCATTTCTCGATTGCAGACTTTGACATTGATGTCTTCTTGAGGGTTTTCTTGACTTTGCTAAAGTTGTGAAGATGTTTTTCTTAACCAAGGAAAGAATTATGCAATGATCCAATAGCTGTCTGCTGTGGTGATGCTGCAGAGCCAGCCAGCACATTGGATGTACTAGGCTGTTGATTTGGCCACTCCTAAAGTTCTCTGACAGGTTTTTTTCAGCCTAATGATGGTCTCCTTCACTTGGATTGACACGTCTTTATTAAGAGTTGTAGTGAAAAGCTACCAAATGCGAACTGAATGCTTGGAAATGACTCCATATCATTCATTTGCTTTTTTATGTAATAAAAAGAGAATGAGTCTCATTTGGCTGCTTTTTAATCATTTTCCAATAGTACATTCAATGTAAGTCCTAAAAAGTTGATGGGATACTTTTGTTAAACCCTGACCACACCACTGATTTATTTTAAATCCACTGTTTTGGTATACAAAGGCAAAAGTGGGTCATTAGAAGTGTCATATATATTAAGTAAACATATGGAGCATGTAAGTGCACTGCTTGTCACCAAACTCCCATTTTAACCCTTTAAGACATACCATAGAACCGAGCCATTTTTTGGAG